TACCTCGTAACGCGTATGAATTTGCACTTCAGCAGTCTTTCGACTTCCGTTTTGATCTTCGACAATATTTCTGGAGCGAAGCGTCTTGGACTTTTCTTGATTGGCTTCTTCCCAGGTTTGATTGGAAACTGAAGTTCTACCAATCCTCTGTCGAGACCAGGCATTTCGTCGTAATCCCATGCAAAACAGTCCTTGAACTCTTTCAACAATTGGATTACTTCCAACCTAAGTTCTGGGTCAATTTTTGCGCTGATGTAAGTTGGCTTTTTCTCTGACCCTTCGCCTAAGTTGATCTCTTCTAAAGGATCTTGCGCTAACATTTTGATGTTGTTCGCCAAGGGGTCCTTTTCGAAGCCCAAAGGCTCATCGTCATAGATGGCGTCGAGCCTCTGTTCCTGCATTCCTTCTGGCATGATATCAGGAGGTTCTGGATCGAAATCCTTTCCAGGACCTGCAGCAGATAACTGTTGATCATTGGCCTGTGTGGCCATGTACTTTACTTCGGCTTCGAGAGCCATTATCATCTTTGTTTCGGCTACATAAGCCGAAATTCGCTTCAATGATTGTGACTCAGTCATTATCACTGAATTCACTTCCCCAACCAGTTGGTTGGATGTTAGTTAACCCACTGAAGTCTATGTGGGACAAGTCTTCTTTGTCCCATTGAAAACCATGCTCAGGGTGCAGGTATAGGGAACAAAAAGTATTTGGCGCTGGCGCGAAGTCGAAGTCAGGTGTTGGACATGGCCCTATGTGAGCCAAGTTCTTGTCGAAGTCTGCCAGCCCTAGGTGATTCACCTCGCCCAGGTAATAGCTTTGATCCGCCTCTATGTTTTCGACCATCCCATCGGGACGCCATAGCAGCAGCCTCTGGTGCATCGATGATGGTACAGCTCCAACACCATGAATCCATTCACGGCCCAACAAAAGATTATAGTTAGGTTTGGCCGAAATGACCATAAACATCGTTGGTCGAAGGATAGATCCCACCTTGATATCCAGTTGGATCACTCCCATAGTGGTCCCTATGCCGCCTTCATAGTTCGACAGGACCATGTTGTGAGGCTTGATGTCCTCATCCCTTTTGCCTATTTTCCTTAGCATAGAGTGAGGAATAATGTTGATGGTTGCCCCACAATCCACCAAGATTTTATTCACTGTAGTTTCTTCGAGTTTAGCCCTTATAAATAAAGGCTTGAGGTGATTCTTCATCGCCTCTGTAGGTGGTTCGAAGAACCCATTTTGCTCCTCAGTAGTGCCATTATCCATGACGAAATAGCACACTGGCCTATGTTTGGCCATTTCTTGCTCCACTTCCCAATCACTTGCTTCGACCTCCACCTGCCGGTTGAACTCTCTGGGCAGCACTGAGACTATATTCACCATGATGTCCAAAGTGTCATCAGACTCAGAACTATCTTCGTCATCAATTTCACCTTGGTTAGGCCAAACTAGCCTGTTGGTTACTGGCTCTCTTTCCAGAGGTTTCCTTTGCTTCCTTAGAGGAACATTTGAACTGGTTTCTGCCTTTGGTTCATTGGCAGCCTCCCTCTCAGCTTTTCGTCGCCTCTGGTATCTCCTCCACTGAGATCGAGACATGGGATTTTTCCCTTTGTAGTTGCTTGACACCTGTGTAACTTTAGGGGCAACAACTTGAGGTTCTTTCTTTTGTGTTAAAGATGAACCCCTTGGCACGTCGAAAGAGTGCCATCTTTCTTTGCTTGGCCTCTTTCGACCAGATGTTTTGTACCATGTATCTACTGGCACATTAGTTGGAGGCCTGAAAGTCAATGGCCTCTTTTCTTGGCTTGAACCTCTTTGGGAGGCTCTTCTGGGATCATGTCGAAGATCAACATTTTCCCTTCTCCTATTTGCTGCTCTTACGCCTTGAATATGTTCAGCAGCTTTTTTGTCAAAGATCGAACTGCATCTTGGACACAACATCACTTCTGACTTCTTTTTCTGGCATCTTTGCAGGAAATCTGCCAGATTTTCATTTTCCCGAGGGAAAGCAGTCTTGTTAGCTTGTTCTTGCCTCATGGCCTCCTCTGATGCTTTTGGGTCAGAGACTTCGACCATGTTGACATTCATGGTATCTTTGTTGGCAAGAGTCAACTGCTTCATTTGAATCTCCAAGTCCTCTGTCTGGCCTTGAACTGTGGCCAAGTGAGAACTGGGTTTTGCTCCAGTTTTTTGGGCTCCAACTGTCTCCAGCTTTGGGCTTTCGACCGCTTTCTGAACCGCTTCAATTGTCTTTCTGGATAAATTCCCAGAAAAACTGCCAAAGATTGGCATGTTGACATGGTCCTTTGAGACTTCGACCATTGTGATTCCTGGCCTCTTCGACCGGCTTCTAGATGCCTCGATCACGTTCACCTCTGAAGGTTCAGCATAGTGGGCTTCAGCCTGCAACGGATTAGAGTCCACAGCCATGGGGGTCTTGTCAGCAAACTTCAACCTCCCTTCTTCGATAGCGTCTTGCACAAGATTCCTGAAAAGAAAACATTGAGACGTTTTATGGCCCAGAAAATTATGATATTTACAAAAGCCTCTCTTCTTTCTTTGATCAAGAGGAGGCACTTTTACCCCTGGGGGTACTATCATTTGGCCATCTTTTACAAGCAAGTCAAAGATCTCATCACATTTTGTAATATCAAAACTATAAGTTTTTTTGGGGAACCTATCGTTGGTCCTTTCTGGACCAGTGGGATTTTTCCCACTTGAGGGGACTAATAGTTTGCAAGAGTATGGTGGCCCTTGTTTTAGTTCCGCTAAATCGACTTCTCCTTCTTCGACAGTTATAGTATCGTCGAAGGATTCTGGATCTTCGTCATCCATCTCAACATACGCTATCCTCTCTCTCTTATGAGTTTTCGTTGCCTTTGCCTTTTCAGCTTTGAGGCGTTCTACCTGTCGAACTCTATCGGCCAGTTGGGCCATGTCTCTCAGGTATTGAGTGTCTAACTTCTTCCTAATGGAATAATCTAAACCGCCTGCGGCTATTTCGACTAACTCATGTTCTGGCACTTGTGTAAAACATCTTGCTTTGAGCAACCTAAACTTATTTAGATATTCGTCTATAGGTTCAGTGAAACGCCTATTTAGACATTGCTGTACGTGATGCTTATTCACGCCAACTCATGATTCCGGTTGGATACTCCAACCAAATCTTTGCCATGTCCGACCCACTATACCCAAGCATTGCTGAAGCCATGAAGATTAAAAGCTACTTTCCGGTACTTGAAAAACTCAAACCGGTTGGATGCTCCAAGAGAGATGCAGAAGATAATGAAGATCCTGCTAAGGAGAAAATCGACCTTCGTTTTTTCAACAGAGACGTTTCACTGAACATATAGACGAATATCTAAATAGGTTTAGGTTGCTCAAAGCAAGATGTTTTACACAAGTGCCAGAACATGAGTTAGTCGAAATAGCCGTTCATTCGAGGTTTCTTCACTTCGACAGTTCATGAACCAAACGAATCGAACTTAATTTTGAGCTCAAGTTCGACTCATTTGGTTCATGAACCAAGTCCAACAAATTAATGACCGAATCGAATCTCGAATTATTTTCGAGTTGATTCGGTTCATTGTCAGTCCTATCGGTCATCAAACAAGTAAGGATATTGAGTTACTAATTTATTGGTTGAACCATTGATTTATTAGTTGAACAGCGTGACTAAACTGAATTAAACCGTATAATTTAGTGAATAAATCAATATTTATAACAAAATTATATATTTATTAAACCCATTGAACCGAATAACTTGATCTTTGAAAAATATCATGACACTAAAAATTTTAAAAAATATACAAATATCATAATTTCACATATTTAAATTCTAAATATAATTATCACACAATAAAATAATACAAAATACACATCTAAATAAATTTTCAACAATTGCAAAGAAGAGAAAGTTATTTCAAATAACTTTTAAAAGTTTAATTATTTCTTTTTAAAAAAATTATCAAGCTTCATTTTGTTCCAGAAAAGAAACATACATTTAACCCATCAATTTTTAAAAATCGCTGATTCATTAGTTTTTACTTCTATTTTAAACAATTGTAGTTGATTTCGACTGATACAATAGCATACTCTATCTATTCAATCATCAGACTAAACATAACCCTTCTAATTTTCAATTCGATTGATCCAATCAACCGGTTCAGTCTTGTTTTTCTAAACACTTTATTTAAAAGTTTAGCCATAAACAAATATGATAAGTGATAATGTTCTAGATGACACACATATTGGAAATGATAAATGGGAAGTTTGGTATCGATTACTAAAAATATACTCCCTCGCATATTAAGAAAAATATAGAAGAGTAGGAGAGAATAATATTTTTACTATAGTATCCTTAATCATATATTAAAAATGATAAAAATTTAATTAATTAAAGAGAGAATTGAAAAAAGTATATTAAAAATTAAAATTATTCATTTATTTTGAAACATCATTTTATTAGTAGCAAATATTGAATTGATTATTCATGCTTAACAGCTTAAGAATCGGTGTGATCAAAGAACGTAACGTGTGCTCGTTTAAAGCTAAAGTGGAAATTGAAAAAGTTAGCTCCAACGGTTCAATGTTTTGCAGGGTGCATTTATTTCATTCGCATGAGAAATATCAACATTTAACACACCAAAAACAACATTTTGTAAATAAAAAGGAAAGATAGCATGATCTTCATCAGAAACAGAAAGCACCTATTTACAGCAAGATAAAGAAAACACATAAATGAACCAAACAACTAGTTAATTAGCAACGGTTTAAATAAAAACACAACACCCCATAACTTCTTAACCTAAATGGTCACAAACAAAACACATTGAAAACTAGATTCAAAATAGAAAAAGCCTAAGATATCATAACCCTACTACTCTTTTACCAAACATAGCAAAAGAAACCAAACACCACAAGATCCATGACCAACTTTCTCCTTTCCGAAAACACATAAAAGTTAAGTAACATCAAATACTAAGTTTAGCCTAGCCCTAGGTCCTAGGAACAACCTTGCACACAAGTGGCGATTTCATCTCCATAGAAAGCTTAAGACATTCATCCAAATCAACAGGAGAATCATCAGCTTGAACCCATTTGAACCTTTGAAGCAACTGAGCTAACCAAAGATGGACAGAAGCTAAACCCATAGCTTTTCCCGGACAAACTCTTCTCCCAGCTCCGAAAGGTGCCAACCTCAAATCAGAACCCAAAATGCTAAAATCTTCGGTCATAAACCTCTCAGGATTAAACACCTCAGGCTCATTCCACACCTTTTCATCATGTGTTATAGCCCACATATTAACCATGGCAGTTGTACCTTTCGGAATGAACTTGTCACCTACCATAACATCATGCACTGCTAAACGCGCCCATGATAAAAGTGGTCCTGGTGGATGAACCCTTAAAACCTCTTTCACAATGCACTGCAGATAACGCATGTTTTGAACATCAACATCACTAATAACGTCGGAATTTCCAACTACACCATCAATTTCTTCCTGTACTTTTTGTTGTATCTCTGGATGAAGAACCATCCTTGCCAGAATCCATTCCAGTAAAATCGCTACCGTGTCAGTTCCTCTGAAAATCATTTCCTGAAAAATAACATCAAACGACAATAATTATCACAATACAAACGACAAAACACAAAACATAAAACATAAACCTAAAACATTTAACATAAAAAAACAAAAAACAGAAAACTTTAAAAAGGTTAAAATACCCAAAGTACTGCAATCATGTCTGAATCACTGAGTTTGTCTTTTTCTTCCAAATCAAGCAAAACATCCACAAAATCACCAACTAAACCTTTTCCTTCAGACATTCTCTTCATTCTATGTTCCTCAATTATTTTCCCAACATATGCATTAACCTTAGTAACCAAAACCCTACACCTTTTCCTAACACCTTGCAAATCCAACCAACCAAAAAGAGGATAATGGTCACTCCAGTTAAAAACACCCAACAACCCATACCCTTCACTCACCATTTCCTCAAGATCAAAACCCTCCCCATCAAAAAAATCATAACACTTCCCAAACACAGTCATCATCACATTGTTAAGTGACCCAAAATGAAGAACTTTTTTCACCTCAACACTACCCATTTCACCCATCAAAAACTCTATCCTCTTAACCATTTTTAACCCCACCTCACTCCTAAAACCTTCAAACCCGTTTATCCTTCTAGGACAAAACAAATGGGTCGAAGAAATCTTTCTCAGATTCCTCCAGTACTCACCATACGGTGCAAAACCCATTGCCCTATGAAACAACAGCTCGTAAGCCGATTCCTTAACCGGCCTATCACCAAAAGCAGAACTGCAAAGAATATCCTTCGCAGTTTCCGGTTCACTGGAAATAACAAACCGAGTCAGACCAACAGAAAAAGCCATCAGCGACTCAGCTCGGTGACTCCGAGCGAGCTTGGCCAAAACACGGTGAGGAGTTTGGCCTGACAAGAGCCCAAACAAACCGGAAAAAGACGGACCAGGAATAACAGACCGAGCCGAACTCGAAGCCTTGTTATAAAAAACCCAAGCAAACCCACCTGGAGTTAACCAGAATAGAAAAAACAAAAAAAACAAAACAAAACACAAAGCAGTTTGAAAACTGAGAGTGAGAGGATGAATGTGAACAAGGTCAGGAAAAAGAAGAAGCTGAAATTCTGGAGACATTGTTTCTTTGTTTTCTTGAAGACAAATTAGAACTAACGTTGGATGGTTGAAATATATAGAAGTTTTGGAAGCGATGCGTTCGCAAAAGACGAAGAGTGTTGTCAGGTTAGTTACTGTTTATATAAAACACACTGCGAGTGGTGTGGTTAAAATTTATCTTAACCATAGTTAAAGGAATATAGTACAAATAACGTGGAAGGGTGGAAGAAAGAAAGGTCGAAAACTTTTTGAGAGAAATAATAGTAAATACGGAAATATGAAAAGGCATGAAAATGTGACAGGCTTTTATTACTGCAGTAGTTTTGCTTATCATTAACTTTTCCAAGATTTTGGCTGTTTTCCTATAACCTCTCCTATTTTTCTTATGATTCTTTTTAGAAAAATAATAAACTCTATTAATATTCCATGAATTTTAAAATGAGTGTTGTTTAAGATTTTTATATAATAATATATTAATATAAAATATTTTATTTCTATTAAATTAACTTTATTAATATATTAGAATAAATGTAAAAATAATAATTAAGGGGTAAAATTAAAAAAAACAATAATTATTTTAAAAAGTGAAAATGATAATTAATTTAAAATAAATTTTATTTGATAAAACGAAAAAAAACATTTAGAAACAGATGAAATAACATTATGTAATGTAGCTTAACATTATGTATTTTTTTCTTTATACACAATTGAAATAGATTAAAAAATAAATTAATAATTGATTAAAAATACAATAGAAAAATAATACGTAGTAAATAAACTAAGTAGTGTTTATTTAGCTGCTCTCAAAAACCACGTGACAAGACGGTTTGCATGACAACTTGATCTATCTTCAATAAAAAGTACATCGAGGATGGTGTTGAGGGAGGGTCTTGAGTATGACGGGAGCATTTTCAACGAGAGGAAATTGTTTTATTGTTTTGTGTCATATTTTTTGAGTCTAAATTAATATTTCATTTAAGTAATTTTTAAACAATTTTTATTATTTTTATTCTAATGATAATGATAAATAAATAATATACATTTGACCTAACTAATTTTATTTTATTCACATTAAATTTTAATAATAATTTTTCAATTAAATTAAATTGATTTAGAAATAATACTAATATTTAATATTGAATTCTTTATTTTTGAAATTATTTCAGTAAATTCTATCTCTTAAATTTAAAAAATTAATATTGTCAGATCATCACACTCCTGTAATAAAAAATAAGTAATAAAATTTAAAAATTTAGAAATCACTATGTTCACAATTGATTTATTGATTTATGTGTATTGAAATACATTATGAGATGATTTAAGGGTATTACAATTTGCATGGAACATATTTTAAAGAAGTTCACTGTCATTTGATGAAATTATAGACAACTATATTGATGTTGTTTCAAGCTCTCAAAATTAATTTATGGTAGCCATTGGTTGTTAAGAAAACATTGCCTAGAGTAGGCATGTGAGTAATGTAGTGGCTTCGTGTTAGGGATTATTGATATGTAAGTAGTTTGGTTGAGTTTATAGTGTTGTGGTGGGCATATAATTAATATTGTGGGCTAATATGTGATGGATGTTGGATTTTTAGTTCTTGTGTGTCAATCAACTTTTGATGATCATAAATAAATAAATACTTTAGATGTCATAATATATATTTTGGAAAATTTTATGTAAATAATCAAATTTTTAAGTTTTCTGCAAATTTATTATTACATGCATATTTACTTGTGAAATCCACAGATAAATCCATAAATAAATTTGCATGTAATATTAAATCTGCAAGAGATAACTAGAAAAAATAATAATTATAAATAAATTTCATGAAAAATTTATATTAATGGTGAATAATCTAAAAATTTAACATTTTTACTCATTATTTTATATTATTTGACATATAGCTAATGATAAAGATGTAAATGGCGGATTAAAAAGTTAATTAAGGATGTCATGACAACATTAAGGATTGAAAAGGGCAAATTGCGTCTTGCTCATTCTTGCCGTCCATCAGCCTAATAATGTGTTGCGTTCCAATTAGAGTTTTTATGGTTCACAAATTGCACCGAAACAAATTACATCAATGATGATTCAGTTTTTAGTTAATCACTTCAATAAAAACAATTAACGACTAAAGTGCTTCTGTTCATATTAAAATTGATTTAAAATCAGTTTGTATTTAGTTTTCAAAAAAAAAAATAGTTTGTATTTATAAATAGATTTATAATTAAGTAGTTTATATATCGCTTATAAAGTTTGCATTTATGAATTGATTATATTTTAAACTCTGTTAAAATCAATTTATTTAAGAATATAATATTTTTAAAGAAAATATTTTTTCATATTTAAGAAAAAATAAGTAAATTAAAAATAAGTATTTTCTGAAAATTATATTTATTGGGGGGAAATCATTGTTTTTTCATTTTTAAAATATACTTCTTTTTTTTGAGAAATTTTTTTAAATAAATCAATTTTTTAATTATCTAAAAATTTGTTTTTTGGAATAAAATTAATAAATATTTATTTATTAAAAAGTATTTATTATGTTTTTCAAAATTTTGAATTTTTTTATTTATAAAAATAAATTAGTTCAACAATCTAAACTGATTTTTAAGTTAAATTTGGCTAACTTAATTGTTTGTAATATGTGGATCAATTTATCAACTATTTAAATAGTTCTAGCTTTAATTTTTGATAAAATTTTAATTTATCAATATATATATATATATATATATATATATATATATATATATATATATATATATATATATATATATATATATATATATATATATATATATATATATATATATATATAGGTGTGTGTGTTACGGGCTGTGGAAATGGAAAGACAATGTAACATTTTTTTTCCTGCAGTGTCTTTTGTTCAGCTGGTTTTTATTGGAAACATAATTTAGTTGATGTCTACAATTTTCAATGTTTATTCTTTAATATGGTCTTTTGGTATTTTCAATTTTTAGTATAAATATGCTATCTAGGCTATCAATATTGTAACTCATTCATTCCCCTATTTGATATACAATAGTAGTTCTCTTTGTTATCATTCATTGCTCATTCTTCTTCTCCCCTTTCGTTACCTTGCACCAACAAATTGGTATCAAGAGCACTTGTTTCTGTTTTCCTGGGAAACACGAGTGATTGTGAGCTGTGTATTTGATTTTGGTTCTTTTTTTTTTGAAATCTTGAACAAAAATCTGAACAGAATCTGATTCGGTGAGTTGGAAAATAGTGTGTTTGAAGATCTGAAAAATCCGTGCAAGGTTTAAAATGAGTAGAGACATTAGTTTGAACACCAAACTTCCAGTTTTTAATGGCAAAAACTGGAACAGATGGATGATACAAATGCGTGTGATGTTTGGTGCGCAAGATGTTCTAGATCTGGTTAAAGATGGTTATGTACCAGCTGCAGCAGATGCAACTGAAGAGCAAAGAACTACTGAGAGGATGATGAGGAAGAGGGGCCAAAAATTTCTGTTCTATATCCATCAGTGTGTGGATGAATGTGTGTTCGAGAAGATTGTTGATTCAACAACGTCAAAAGGGGCGTGGGATTTACTGGAGAGATGTTACGGTGGTGACACATCAGTAAAGAAGGTGAAGCTCCAATCCTGCAAAAGCAATATGAGAACCTGAACATGAAGAGCAGTGAGAAAGTTTCTGAATATATCTCCAGAGTGATTTTAATCACTAACGAGATGAAGGCGTGTGGAGAAACTATGTCTGAACAGGTAATCATAAAGAAGATTCTGAGGTCGCTTACTCCTCAGTTTGATTACATTGTTGTTTCTATTGAACATTCTAAAGATCTGGAAACCATGAGAATGGAAGAAATGCAAAGCAGCTTAGAAGCACATGAGTTACGTCTGTCTGAGAGAACTTCTGAGAGGGAAGCTGAGCAAGCTCTGAAGACTTCTTTTGTCAAGAAAAATCAGAAGCAGAATAAACGTGGTGATAGATTCCAGAAGTCAGAAGCCTCAACTTCTGATGATAAGAAATATCATAAAGGAAAGAAGAGATGTGACAAAAGGAAGGTTCAATGTTACTCTTGTAAACAATTTGGCCATTTTGCCAGAGATTGTAGGTCAAACAAGGAAAGGAAATCAAAAGAAGCATATATGGCTAAGAGAAACTCCGATGATGAACCTGTACTACTAATGGCTTCTAATTCTGATGGAAAATGCTCAGAAGATTGGTGGTATATGGACACTGGTTGTTTAAATCATTTAACTGGAAACAAACAATGGCTGACAGACTTTGACTTCAGAAGGAGAACAAAGATCAGATGTGTTAACGATAAGTATCTTAATTCAGAAGGTATGGGAGATGTCAGAGTTAGAGTGAAGAATGGGAAAGACATTCTGATCAAAGACGTTTGGTATGTTCCTGGTATTAGAAGCAATCTGATGAGCGTAGGTCAGCTGATTGAGAAAGGTTTCTCAGTTGTTATGAAAAATAATCTTCTGACGTTGTATGATTCCAATCAGAAGTTGATTATGAAGTCTGAACAAGGAGGCAACAGAATATTCAAGGTAAATGTAGAAACAGCTGAAGCAACATGTCTTAGTGCAGAAGGCGCTGAAAGTAACAGTAAGTTGTGGCATAAGAGGTTGGGGAATTTGAACTATAAAAGCTTAGGGCATCTATGTTCTAAGAAGCTTGTACATGGTATTTCAAAGATTCTGAAGCCTGAGAAGTCATGTGAGATATGCATGAAAGGCAAGCAACCTAGATTACCATTTACATCAGAAGTAGCCCCCAGAGCGAAGCATGCTCTAGGAGTAGTACATTCTGATGTGTGTAGACCATTTCCAGTACCTTCACTTGGAGGAAACAATTATTTTGTGTCTTTTGTGGATGAGTTCACAAGAATGACATGGGTAACACTCATCAAGTTCAAGCATGAAGTGTTTACTGAGTTTCAGAAATTTAAAGTGAAGGCTGAGAAGCAGAGTGGTCAGAAGTTAAAAATTCTGAGAACGGATGGTGGAGGTGAGTAT